GAAACGACGGTTAGTTCTCACAAGTGCGTAAATGTCCCGTTGACGGCGAAGGAAGGAGACAATGGTGAGGATAGTCTCATTTGGGAGATGGGTGAGATGCATTGAGTAGGAGGCAATCTAAGCTTGGGACTGTTCGTAAGGTGGTACGATTTTTTGGATATTGGAGAGGGACAGGCGCTTATTTATGTTCAGCTGGAGACTAGCAACTAGTAGTTCACCCTTTACCAAAATAGGCATGTATGCGGGGTGGACACACCAAGGCCTCACACAAGATAAGACTGAACAGATACTTTCTGTCGCAGACAAGCATGATGCTTTACCAACACCCCTTTTTTATTTCTATCAGACTGACTGCCAATATTGACCCTACTTGAACTGAATCGAGTGACAGTCTCCCTGAGGAGCTTTCGGCCATCAACCGTGTGCTTATCCATTCCTACAAAGTAAGAGGTGTGCCATCAGCTATGTTATATTAGAGCATAACACTGCTATACTAGGTATGACAGAAATATCACCAATATCCTTGGTGAGTAGAGCTTCAATTTATCTCACAAAACTCAAGCTGATCGATCCTATCTCCTCTGACAGATAAACCCTGCCAATCTGACCAGGCTAATCTCTCTAGCGGCAACACGATCAACAAACGTATCAGACCCAGTTGGCTCAATAACGGCCTAGTTTTGCAAACATATAGCGACAAATCTCCTGTATTAACATTCTATCAATTCTGAATGGCTTAAGACAGATCTCTAGTTTCCAGGTCCATTGACAATTGCTATAATAGAGCAGCTGGCCACAGCGTCACTTGTCACCACGATCCAACCTGTTGATAAGAGTTGAGCTATAAGTGGATCACGCTCAGACGAATGGCTATGTTGGCGACTAGTAAATCAGCTTTGCCACAGATGGAGTACACGATCGCCAAGAAGCCCAAGCTAACTCGGAGCCCTTTGATCAGTTATTGGCACTGGCCGAAGTTGACACGGCAGTGCGAATGTTAGAAGGGCCATTGTCCTATTTCTTATAGTTTTCTTTTCATCAGCGTATTAATTTCAGAGATGATACGCAGGTTCTATGTGCAAGAGTCCGAACCCTTTATGGCTTCATCATACCTGAGTATGGAAAACTCCTCTTGCGTGGGAAAGTCCTCTTTCTGATTCATAGACCAGAGACCTTAAAAACTCATGTCCGAGGTCAAGAAAAGGGAATATTTGTAAGCCGGATCAATGGGAAGGCTTTGATGAGTATTGGAGTACCGATCATGTGCCCGTCGTAGCTCCTCCCATTCTTGATTCATCCTCAGAAACTTCCTCCACGATCATTCCAGCTTCACTTCTCTTCGACACTCCGACTCGCCAACATTATCAACATAGGGCTGATAGCCTGACTCGTTAGAAATCATAAGCAAACTGACAGCCCCTAAATTGCAAGGCAACTCAGCAATATCTTTTCCAATCGAGACACTGTCAGTCTCTGGTGGTGATAATTCGCCTGGCAAGGGACCTTGCGTTGACTGAAACATAACTTGCAGATCAGCTAATGATTGCTTTTCTGTTCGAGGCCTAGGTCGAAGCCAGTCGCCACATCGTTAACCCCCTGAATATTACAGGCCAACACTTCGTCCGAGCTCTTATCTCCGAAGGCAGCATATCAAACACCCCAAGGCAGCAGTAGCTCAGTAAGGAGCGGGCTCTTCTAGTGAGAATCTCAACATGAGTGTGGTACAAGGCAGCAGCTTGGGCCACCACTACATCTGGCGGGAATGGATAGCTGTGTAACGCAGAAAAGCCATTGTCAATGATCTAATCCGACAACTGCATCATTGTGAGACCCTGACATGTTCCTTAATGCTCTGGTCTCATACTGGGAGGCGATTCCTTCCATGGTAAGTCTTACTGTGTCGTGCGTTTGACTGGGTCAAGATGTAAACTACAAGGGAGGCCACGTCGACAATGTCCCCAGATACAGAAGCAAGACTGGGACACCATGTTTCAGGAATGGCCGCTCTCTTTGCACAGGGACTGGTCCTCGCATGTTTCATTGCCTGTCGCCTGTCGCCCAAAGGTGCAACAAGCCAGCTGCAGTGATGGTCGGGCAGTTATTGGTAGTCATGATGCTTATGCATCAAGAACTTGAAACTGGCAGTGAACAGCAGTCAACACATCGGATAGCCAATATGAAATTTCGCGGCCCTACTAGCTGTCAACCGCTTGGAGAATTGAGCTTGAATGGTAGGCTGACCATGAGTACCTGAAAGTGCCAATTTGGTGTGTTTCGATTGATAGTAGGCTTGAAGCCATTCGTTCTCACACTTCCTCGATGCCATGCAATCGGCCTTGCATAGGTCGGTTCAATCGCAGCAAAAGGTAGCCTGCAGTGTCCGTATGACGGCATCCGTGGCTTCAATATTCAAAATTCGCCAGGCATTTAGAGTTTCCAGCAGGTTCTACTTCTATATTCTGGAAGCCATGCTCCGACACTCATTTGTGTCACACTCGATATATGGTCTGCCGCCCGAATCGCCCTACTACAACGTCAGACACGGGAAGCTAGAGCCGGCTCTGTGCAATGATAGCTGAGGATCGTATTCTCTTCCCAAAACGAGCTACCTACAGTTGTCGTCAACCTTCTTTCATACTCTGACCACGACATTTGGTCCCGGGGCCTAATCATTCCAGCTTTATAGTGTCCTCTAGATATGAAAGATTATAAGGTCTTGCAAGTGCACGCAACAGATGCCCTGATAAGGCAACTTCTTGTTGACGATCACTGGTTACGGTGAATATATCAAATATATTGGGGCGTGGGGGTCCTATGCAATACCTTCGGATCAGTAGCTGTCGGCGACACGGCAGTGCATGCTGTCTCCCTTACAGTCATGAAGGTAGTTTTTTTACCGGTTTTGGAGACAGAAATCAGCCAACTCATGGCTTGCCAGCAGTTTTGTTCTATTCTACTACAAGCACATCCCGGCCATTTGTTGAGCAGGCGACCAGATCAGTGTCGCAGTGTTGCTGGCCACCTCCTCTTTACTTTCGCCAATACGACGCTCTTGGCAGTATTGGGCGCCACAACGCATAGGCTGTATGGCGCGGATGCTGCTACTCTCCCTTCACGACGGCACAAGGCCTGTCCAGACTTACTGGATCATCATTTGCGATGAACAGCCATGGTCGTATGATCACAAAGGCGTGAATCGCATACTGCTCGGCACGGTCAGAAGTAAAGTCGGAGAAAAGGCCTAGGCTTCTGACTACAACAAAAGGCTAGATAACATGGTGCAGATCTTTTACAGAAGCCGGTGTCAGACATTTGAGGAGCGAAACCATCATCCACGCGCCGATTGACGGGATAGTTTCGACTTAAAGTTCTTATCTGGGCATAGCTTCTTCAGTAACACCACAGATCTGGCCTCACCTTGTGTATTCAACAAGCACTTTCAGAGCCTCTACCGATTCTCTAAATTAACCCCAGGCTACCATCATATATGCCACATCCACAAAGTCACATGCCACACTCTGCTTATGTGCATCACGTTCATAGGTTCAGTCTGGACAGTCCGATCTGGGCAAGCATCCAAGGTTATCCGCAGCACGTCACCATCAATTGAGCAACAGAAAATGTACATGATTGCTAACAGGGCCAAGCATCGCAAGCTCCCTGGTTTTTAGTCCTCATATACTTCCAGATGTTATTGCACTATTCCGGCAAGGAGCCCGTTGGCAGCACCGATCCGCATGATCAACAGGCACGGATGGGGGCATGAACCATGCATCTGGGTGCAGGGAGAGGAAGCCGGTCTCAGGTCCATCGGGGCCAACGGTGTCGGGATATCGAGTAGCGTTAGCCGCCTTTTTTTCGACAAGCGGACCCAAACAGCTAAAGTCTGTACTCCCTTCTTTTACTTAAAAGGAAAATAAATTGGTGATAGTCCATCTCTGCACCGATCATGTACCCTTGCGTTTGCGCTCAGATTCTGAAGCCCGTCATTCCCACGGAGCGTCACACAAACAACACACCCAGCGGCTACTTGCATACCCTCGGAAGGAGCCACGAATCGGGGATTATTAGGGGAAACAAGATGTCAGACAGTCCCTAGAGGCGACGAAGAGGTTGCCTTCCAAGACGCGGGTATCCCAGGTAAAATTCTGCGATTCCGTTGGCGACAGCGGCGCAGTCCCTTGGCAACGTTCAAAATATCTTTCGTGGCAAAGGGGTAGATGGAGTCATAATGGATTGGTGCATCTTGACCACCTATTTGTGGAAAGTGCCGGTTGCTTAGGGTTTCGCCTCTCAGGGGCGAGCATCTTCTCCCTCTTCGGCAGCCTTTGATGTCCTTGCTTGGGTGTAACAAAACCGGACGCATGGCCTCGGGTGCGGTCGCGGCACGGTCAACTGCCAGTAGTGTTCATGTGTGTTTGCATGTCACTACATATGCAAGCACCACACCAGAAACAGGGTCTAAGGATTGCCGTTGTCAGTGCGGCCTGGACTGCGTCTGGTACCTCGATACTCACCGACCTCTGCTGGAACCAACAGATACCCAGACAAGATTAGAAAGGGAAGAAAGTTCTGCAAGGCTCGGGCATCCCACTCTCCAGACCGACAGTGGTTGCGCCAGTGTCATCCAGAGGGTTCCACAATCCATCCCAAAAAAGGAACGAAAGAAGCCCTCGTTCGCCCGGGGATTGGCTTGCCGCGGTCATCACGAGGTAGCCGACACAAACGGGCCGGAAGCAGATGGAAAAGACAGCACATACGGTGAAAATTTTTATAGCGACATTTGGTGATCGGTTACTGTTTTCTGTTTCGCAGCGTCATTGGCAACAGGTGCATATGATGGCATCGTTGGTATCACCTTGGTGACTGTCACTGGATACCCTAGAAAAGCTGCAACGGAAGGCGAAAAACCAAGCTATAAAAGTCAGCGCGCCACGGCCTCCGGTAGGGAACCGCTTTGAGATTCTACCCTATAGCTGTCTTGCTTATATCTTCACGAGAAAGCTTATAGTATCATTCTGTTATAGTTTCCACTGGACATCCACGCGGACTCCTGAAGACGCACCACTCGCCTTTGCTGGCTCTGAGTCTGCGATAATCTTTACCAACACACTCGTTATTACCTCTGCGGAGAGGAATCAACACAGTCATGCCGCAGAAAGCCGCTCAGCAAGCTGGTATGCCCGAAGGGCGCGGAGTTAGGTACGACGAGATCGATATGGCGCTCTTCCGCGCCAAGCTCTCCTACCATGCGACGGCCGAAGAGCGCATGGCGTCGCGAGATCCCAATCTCGTCTCTATCTCAGAACATCAAGCGCGACTGTTGAGGCTCTGGGAGATGCACCAGCACTCGAGGGAGGAAAAGAACGGCGGTAACATGACACCGGCCGAGAGGAACCAGCTGGCGCAGTTTCAATGGCGATACAAACGATTGGAGGACCTCGCCACGCAGGGCACGAGGTAGTAGCCAGGGACGACGGCAGCATCAACATGAGAGTTATTTGGAAGAGCGGCATCATGGGGCGTTTCGTTAGATGTAGATTCACGAAGCTTTTGGTTGTTGATTCGAGACAACCCGGCTTGAGTTTTAAATGGCCCGTGAATCCTGATTTTGTTTGGTTCTTGTTCTTGTCCGTGTCCTTGATTTCCTTTTAGCCTGCTGGATACTTGCATCTAAACGTTATTTCCTCTCTCTCTGTCTGTCTGTCTATTTCATTGTTGTTCTTTTCTCCTGCCGGGCCACATAGTACCCAACATTCGCTTGACCAGCCCTGTACGTACGCAGACCTCGAGGCGGACACGTTCACGCACCACATGCACGCCATCTAGACTAGCCGCAGTAGCACCGAACTACCAAGTTAGCACCACCTCCTTCCCCCTCGACGTCAAGCATGTAACCCAACCCAATTCGATCAACGCCAGCCCCATTGCAACGGTAACGCGCCGTTCCCCGTCCAGCACACCCACTCGTCCGGGACACCAAGCCGTGGCGGTCGGTCCCAGGGGAACCAAAGAAGAGAGGAGGGGGAGGAGGGGGGAGGGGGAGTACAATAGTCACCTCCTCACGTCGTACATTGGGCACGCGACAGCAACAAAAAGACATCAACTTTAATTATTGCATGCTTCCTAGGTATTGTTCCGTTGATTCCCATTGCACATGCGAGTAGCAAGTGCGAGGATGGGGTGTCCGACAGCCGAGCGAGTCGGCTCCGGTAGATTGATTCCCCAGTTAGTTTAACTTACTTATGCCCTAGTTGGGTTATTGTGTATTGTGTAGGTATCTCTGTGCTGTCTCTTAATTTTCTCCTCCGATAGGGGTGTGAGTCATGCGTAGACTGTAGAAGAGACGAGGATTATCCGGGTGTCTAACTAGGTGTTGAGTGAACTAATTAGAGAATGATAATGAACGAATTGAATTGTAATGCCCTCGGCTGTTACATAAAAACTTGGGGATTATAAGGTGATGTGGTGAGTCGGAAGAGGGCGACGAGGGGTGTCGGAGAGCTCCGACCCGGAGGATGTGGAGTTTTGGTTTTACTTTGGTTCTGGTGGGGTGGAATTTGGGGGAAACCGGATGCTAACTTAGCAATGTAGAGAGAGAGTGGGTGTGTGTAGATGTGGTGGTGGATGTGTGAATTGGGTTGAGTTGGGTTGATGATGATTGCTGGTAGATTGGGTAGATAGAGGAGAGATGGGAAAGGAAGGGAGAAGGGAGTATGTAAATAATAAAGTAGAATAATATGGGGTGATAGTAAGTAGAAAAGTAGATAACTAGAAGAGAAAGAATGAGGGGGGAAATTGCGGATGAAGCGATAAGATCGAGTAATCGGCGGGGCAGAAACTCTTATCAACTCACATACTTGATTTCTACTTAAACCTCATCATATTCCCTCCCTCATTCCCTTTCCCCCCCTTCACCTCTCTCTTTTCTTTCCTCATAACCACTTCTCTTTCAAAATATCAAACCATCATATAATCAATCTCCTCAAAACAAGTCCACCCATCATGTCCTCTCAAGATTACATCCCCGCCGACCAAATCGACTCCACCTTCGCGCACACCACCAACCTCGCCTCCTCCGCCCTCAACAGCACCATCCTCTCCTGCTCCAACGAATACTTCGCCGCCGCCTCCAACCTCCTAACCCCCACACCACCCATCAACCGCCCCGGCGTCTTCGTCCACACCGGAGCCTGGTACGATGGATGGGAAACCCGCCGCCACAACCCGGCCCCCTACGACTGGGCCGTGATCAAGCTGGGTGTGTCCAGCGCGCACATCTACGGCGTAGAAGTCAACACGGGGTACTTCATCGGCAACTACGGCGAAAAGGCCTCTCTGCAAGCAACCTACGCACCCAACACGCCGGACTCTGAAGTCGCGGACGAGAAGTACGCGAACTGGACGACGATTCTCCCGCCCGTGGAATGCGGGCCGTCTCAGCGGCGCGCGTGGAAGCTGGATCCCGAGGTGCATGGCAAGGCATTTACGCATGTGCGGCTGCTGATGTACCCCGATGGTGGGTTTGGGCGGTTGAGGGTGTATGGGAAGGCCATTCCGGGAGATGTTAAGGTTGCTGGTGGGGAAGAGGAATTGAGTTCTGCGCTGGTGGGCGGTGTGGCGCTTGCGGCGTCGGATCAGCATTTCACCCCGTGTTCGAATTTGTTGTTGCCCGGTCGGGGTAAGGATATGGGGGATGGGTGGGAGACGGCGAGGTCGAGGGCGAAGGGTCATGTTGATTGGGCCATTGTGAAGTTGGGGTTGGTGGGGAGTGTGAGTCGGGTGGTGGTGGATACGAAGGATTTTAGGGGCAATTTCCCCAGGGAGGTGCGCGTGCATGGGCTGGTGGAGGGGAGTGTTAAGGATGGGGAGGAGCCGAAGCATGATCATCCCGGTTGGGTCGAATTGGTGAAGGGCGATAGGCCTTGTCGGGCGGATACGGAACATGTCTTTGAGGGTCAGGATTTGGCGGCTGGAGGGGAGGATACGAGGGCGTTTACCCATGCTAAGTTGACGTTGGTGCCGGATGGAGGTGTGAAGCGGTTTAGGGTGTTTGGAAAGCGTAAGGCTGTTGCTGCTTAGATATAATATGAGATGTAAAATGGGCAGTTACTAGGATCACCAAGAATGAACATCATGTTAAATGAATATTGTAAACTGCAATTCTTGCACCATGATATAAATATCTAAATCATCCAAAACGCCAGACCCTGGTATTCTTCATCCCCTCGTAGACTCAACTGAAAGGAGATGGAAAAAAACACGGTATCACCAAGACATACAGATAGCAAAGTGCACGCGAGCCAGAGATATATATGATAGACAGAGACAACGCCATAGGAGAGACATCACTATAATCAACACACGCATGATAAACATCAATGTCTTCAATACACCTGGTACTGCGTCGGTCTGCAGAACAGCAAGAGTGAAGAACAAAAGAAAGCATGAAGCACGAGTACATCGGACAGACGAGGGTAACCAAAAAGCAAGAGACCGGATTGGAGCCTCAACTGCTGGTATCATCAATCATATGCTTCATCATCATCGCTTGGAATTGAAAGGACGTGAACCAGCAAGACACGGAACGATGCTCAGCCCGTATGCTATTCAAGTTATAACTCGCAAAGTACAATCTAGAAAGAGCAGCGCAGCAACATCGATAGAGAATCGCTTAGAATATGCAGGGTATCACAGGTGAGTCACTGACGGAAGCAATCGTCTTGGGCCAGTGCTGACTCAGAGGAATGGCAAAAGCTTGCCATCGTAGAGGTTGGAAGAAGTCACCACGACGCTAATTTTCTATAGGTTGCCGCTCTTGCAGTTGCTTCTCTTCTTCAGGCGACAGAGCGGGGGCTTGGCCGTCGATATTAGGCGACATGGAGTGGCTCCGTGGTGTCCCTGCCTCAGTGCTTACACTTCCTCGTTCCCGGTTCACCAGCCGCGTCCTTGTGTAAGCTGGCACTGGTGCAAGGTATTGGTCAAGCATCTCACTCAAGATAGTAGATCGAACCGGCTTGGGCAGGTAGTTGTTCATTCCGGCACCAAGGCACTTCTCGCGGTCTCCCTCGATGGCACTCGCCGTCATGGCTATGACCAACACTTCGTTGACATTGGGATCTGGGTCTTTCCGGATCTCGCGAGTGGCATTGTAGCCGTCGAGAGTCGGCATTTGTACATCCATCAGGACCACATGGAACGGGTTGCCTTCACGAGATCTGGTTCGGAGAGCTTCAACTGCCTGCCGCCCATCACTGTATGCTTCGCACTGAAGATTGAGCCCCTTGACGAATTTGACCGCAATCTTCTGGTTGATAGGATTGTCTTCAGCGATACAGACTCGGATCTGATCCCGGGGCACCATGGTCAAATCTCGAGCAGTAGGAACCGGAGCTTTGTTCTCCACCTGATTGGCAGCCTTGTTCTTGGCAGCTTTAGCGGCAGCGTCTTTCACCTTATTGAATGCCAGATGGAACGTCACCGTAGTTCCAACGCCTGAGGTCGAATCCAGCCAAATAGCACCGCCTAGGACGTCCTCAATGATTGCCTTGCAGATACTCAAACCAAGCCCACTACCGCCATATGACCGCGCCATGGAGTTATCGGCTTGCGAAAATGGCCGGAACAGTCGGGACTTTTGTTCTTCTGAAATTCCAATACCTGTATCGGATACAGAGCACTCCAAACGGACACGACCCTTGCCTTCTCTGGAAACCTTGGCTCTCACAGTCACGGATCCCTTGGGAGTGAACTTGTAACTGTTACTGAGAAGATTCATGAAGATCTGATGCAAGCGAACAGGGTCTCCGAGGACCACAAGTTCTGGCGGGACTTTGTCCAGATCCTCGATGGTCTCTAAGCCACGATCGCGATGCGTATAGCGAAGTGCGCGAACCACCTCCGAGATTGTTTCCCGAATGTTGAGGGGTACGGTAGAGATCTTCATCTTGCCTGCCTCCAACTTGGAGAAGTCAAGGATATCGTTGATGAGTGTGAGCAGCGTGTCAGCGCAGACACGGATCGATTCCACATATTCATCCTGCTCTCTGTCCAGCTTGGTACCCTTGAGGAGTTCTGACAAACCAATAACGCCATTCATCGGTGTGCGCAGATCGTGAGATATATTAGCCAAGAAGATGGACTTGGCCTTTGCTGCATCTTCTTTCAGCTTCACGTTATGCTTTGCTTCAGCCTCGGCCACTTTAGCCTTCTGCTCCGCCTCGCGAGCCTGGGCAAGTGCGCGCTTTTGAGCCTCCACCATAGACGCATTGGTAGCGCTGACCTTACGCACTTCGCGGAAGAGCAACGCATTGGAAAGCGAGATACCAATCTGGTTGCAAAGCAAGTGAAGAACCACAACATTCCGCTGGGTGAATGAATTCGGTTTGCCTTCAATATGGATGACACCGAGCAGATGCTCGGCCTGCATAATAGGCAATGCGATCACGGACCGTCCAAGGGGATACCTGGCTTGGTAGCCCTCATTGACGTTCGAGAAACGCTCATCCTCCAAAACGTTGTGGACCAGAACTTCCTCCCTAGTGCGCATGACGTAGTGAGAGATCTGATGCGCCATCTTATCCTCGATTTCGGAGAACGGAAGGCCATCCACGAAAGACTTTTGTCCTTTCTCCAAGTCCCCAGCCGCAGCGACCGTGAAGTTATTATCAAAATTGGTCGCAATGACCGCAGAATCTGAGCCATTGCAGGATTCCAGAACGATCTCAATCATCTTCGTCAAAAGTTTATCGATCTGAAGCTCCGAGGACATCACTTGACTAGATTCGAGGATGCTTGATAAGTCGATAATATCTGTTTCATATTAGAACGGCTCACAGGAAGGGAGTGGAGCGCTGTAGCTTACCAAGGCCGACGCCAGATATGTCGAATGAACGTTCACCCGTAGTAACGCCATTTTGTTCTATCCAGCGTTGTTTTCTGTCATCTTCTTCCATATTTTGTGCTACTCCCATGTGTTCTTGGCCGGTATTGCGATTGATTCCGAGCAGCGAGTCCACGGTTTGACAGCCAGCGTCAACGTTCCTCGAGGATGTGGCGGTTTTCAATAGCCATTCATGCTTCTCGGTCAGCTGCGCCGCCTTACCCACGGCGCTTATCGCGGCCCATGCGGCAATTGCGTCTTGCATGACAGAACGCGCCGCCCTTTTGGCACCGCGACGGATCAGGAACTCTCCTATTCGAAAGTTAATTTGGGCCAAGACGTGGGGGTTAACCCCTCCCCCAAAGCACTGCGGTTCGGGACGTCGGTGTACATACCATGCAGTTCTAGAGCAAGCGCTTCCTCCAAGGGCCACCCATGAATTTGACAATGATCGATTGCAGCCTGGCTTGGTTAGATACCCTCCACAATATCTCCAGAGCAATTCTGCAACTTACTTCGAAAGATTGAATTGCAGAAGTATGGTCATTCCGGACTTCGCATATCAGTGCCTCCAATATCAAGGACCACATTCCATAATTGGCATCGCAAGCACTGCGCGCGAAATCCACTTCAGCTTTATACTTCAAGACCGTATGCAGGCTTCCATCAAGATACCCGCGAGCAGGGTACTCGTTGTGAAGAGTCAAAAGAGAAAGGGCGAGATAGAAATAGACTACGTATGAAACACGAGCAGACCACAGCCTGGGCATAGTCTCCATCATCTGCATACCCAGCTGTATAGCCTTAGTATGATGTCCATATGCAAATAGCGGAATCATTGCAAGGCCCCAGTAAATGTCTCGCGGGCGATCAGCGTTACTGGCATTGTTGTCCAGGAAAGCGATGTACTCGTTCGTGTGATGGTGCTCGTCGGACATAATAGTGTCAGGAGAACGACAGGCCGTTTTACCTTGCAAAGCACGCGCAACTTGTCTGTAGGCATGTTAGCGAGTGACATTTTCTTCCCTTCCGAAGGTATACAAGACGTCCTTACCTTACTGCAAGCAGACTAGCACCACCACGGGTATCATTGACCCAGTCGGGAATGTCTTCTGGGCTTTCGTTGCAGAACGCCTCCACCTGAGCCATATCATGGCCCAGATATAGTCTTGTCATCGCCATCGAAGACAAGCTGATTAGGGTGATGTAAGGATCGCCCATCGAGAAGGATGTCTCCACAGAGGCCTCGAGATTTGGGAGTGTCGAAGACAGCGGAACGCGCAAGTGGCCGACGTAAAGGTTATGTACGATAGAGCCCCGGCTTTGAGTCCACTGTTCAGGACACCGCTCAAGGAGGGTGAGCGCGAAATCGCTCAGCCTCACGGCGAGCTCCAGGTCCCTAAATCGGCTGAACGATATCATCGCGAGGTGCGAACAGCCGATAGAAATCTGCACAAACCCGCCTTTGAAGAGATGTAGGTTCATCATCTCAATGGCCATCCGGTAGAATGTTAGTGCATCATCCCAGTACGTGACAGCCATCGCCTCAGCCATGACTTCCCCAATAGTGATCATGTCGACATCCTTGCTGACGGGCTTACGGACAATAGCTTCTAAGTCCGCTTGCTCAAGGTACGCGCGAAGATTACGGTACGCATCATCGCATTCATCGTAAGTCGTAGGCTCTCGTAGATGCACACCAAGCTCTTCCAGACACGTAAGGAGTGAATCCATCGAACGGAGGTGGTTACCCATCTGAGCGTAGATCTTGGCCTTCACGATCCAAGCTCTTGATTTGCAGACGGCACTCTTTCCATGTTCGAAGACTTTATCTAGCAGGTCCAAAGCTTCCGTGTTATGGCCTTGAGACCAAGACATTTCAGCCGTGGCAATATGCAGACGCAAAGTCTCCCGGTAGTACACATCAGCGTTATTGTCATCCCAAGGATTGTCTTGAAGGAAAGTGATGCAGTGCCGGAAGTACCAAAGCGCTGTTGGACGCGCACCCGATTGCGCAGCGGTTTGCGCCGCATCCCATAAGATCTTTCTATATTCAAGTCTCTCTACGACACGAGACTTGATAATCCGAGACGCCAGAGCCACATGTCGCGCCATTGCGTATCGACTGCGGCCATCATGGTAGTACTTCATCATTGCCTGGGATATGATGAAATGCATTTTTTCAACATTCCGTCCCTCTGTCAACGAAAGGGCCGCTTGCGAAAAGCGATCATTGACAAATCTAGACGGTTAATTAGTGGATACCGATATGAAGACAACCAGGAGCACCTACCTAAATTCATCGTCCGTCTTTCCCGGAATGATCAGGTTTGCTTGCACAAGATACTGTAGACCGACAACCATATCGGCTTCAGTTTGTCGGATTAGATTTGCATTCTGAGGACAGGTAAGGTCTACAGCCTCGTCGTCCTCGCTGGAATACAAGAACTCGCTTGTAAGAAGTTTTTGTACCAGAGAGAACGCAAACGGGCTTCCTAGCAATGCGCCCCAGACCATGATGGACCTGGCGGCCGGAGGAATTTCCTGGAGGCGCCTTGCAATGAACCCTAGCCCAAGCCCTTCGCCATACCTAGGAGCCACAAATTCGGTGAAGATCCGATCCAAGTCGAATTCCCACACAGAATTCTTCCATGAATACCAGATACAGTTTTTGCTATAGCAGGTTTCGAGCATCATTCGGACAAAGAACGGATTGCCCATGCTTTTTTCCTGTATGACAGCGGCAAGCGGAGTTAACATCGGGTTGGGTTCCTGATGCATTGTAGCGGCCACAATTTGCATGATCTCTTCCTCTCCAAGAGGCTTGAGTACGACGCGCGTCACACTGGAATTCTCAGAATCGAAGAGCGGCCTGATAATATTCGATTCCAGCTCAGACTTCCGGCTTGTGAGTATCAATACACATGGAATTTTAGCTTTCACGATGTTCATGATCAACTCCAGGGTCTCGTCATCGGCATAATGCAAGTCGTCCACACAAGCGCAGATCAATCGGTACTGGGATAGAGTCCGCAGTATCTCCAAAAACGTCTCCATCAACCGCATGTTCTTCAGTGCGGCATTAGATAGAAAGAAGTCCACAGAGCTTTGACCATGATCCAGACTTGGGAGTGCAACGCGCTTGGATGGTTCGCCCTTGGTCGAAACCTCCTTGAAGATGTGTTGCGCTGCCGAAAGTCTGGGCGAAATTTGTCTTTCATTTCCTCCCGATGACATGAGCTGCTCCGGGAGTTCCAGCACACGGTGTAATGTTGGCCACATTGGTCTCAACGCAGTGCGAATGTTATTGTGGTATTCAGTTGTCACATCGCGTTCAGAAAAGATCTGGCGGAGAAGGCTGGCCAGAATTTTGGCGAAAGGTTCAAATGGGATCCGCCTGGCGCGATCCAGACGGGCTATACCGATATATCCAAGTTTACGAATTGCGGGCTGAACACGGTTCAGAAGGTCGGTCTTTCCAATGCCAGCCGCACCGCTTATGGTAATTACTTCGCATTTTCCGGCGCGGCGAACCTTGTGTGCAGCCTTCGCCCTGGCAACAGATCCGATAGAATCACCATGGCTCTGCGTGCTTGTTCCAGCAGAGGGATGGCCATCTCTGTCTACATTCTCCCAGGATGCGCGAGACTCCACAGGGCTCCTGGGTTTGCCTGACGAGTCTCCGGGTTTAGGAGTTGAAGGAGAAGAATCCGTGCTGTGCAGAGATTCGTGCGTAGATGTGCGGCCTAGGTTGTAAGCGCCACCGTTGGAAGCTGCCCTGGACGCAAGATTGAAGGAGCCTGAGTCGCTCGAGCCAGATGCAATCTCAAAGCTATCAACCCGACCGTCGGAGACAGAAGAGTTGGATCCTACTCCACTGGATGTCTGAGCAGCTGCTCTCGCATACGCAGCTTGCTGGCGCCTATGAACCTTCTCGACAACGTTGATGATCTTGTCATATTCCTCTCCGCGCCCAAACATGCGAGAGGGAAGCGTAAAGAAAGACGACACATCACGCTGAGCGATCTGGAAGTCTTTCAATGCTTCACTATCACCATCCCCAAGCAACTGGGAGATCTGTGCCAGATCTCGCTTGACAGATGATATGGTGTGGTAGCGTTCATTGACAGCTTTCTGTGTCATCTTCTGGATTACAGCTGACACTGCGTCGGGGACATCCATTCTCTTGGCCGAGAGCGGTGGTAGCTTCTTTCCCAGTACGTTCTGTACGACTTCAACAGGGTCGCTGCCCGTGAAGGCCGGTTTACCAACCAACATCGTCCAGAAAAGCACGCCCAAAGCATAGATGTCCGTTCGACTATCCGGCTCCGTAGGCATTCTTCCCGTTTGTTCCGGAGCGATAAATTGTAGCTTATTCTTGACACCAAGCTCCTTTGAGAGGGATGACCAGCCTTCGCTCAGGATATTATCGAAAGACCTAGCACCATTTCCCGTGTTGGTAAGCTTCACAGACCCCGCCTCTCGATTGAAATGGAAGGCATCCCCGCGGATTTCGCCGTGTACCGTCTTGAGGCCGTAGTGTAAAAGTTCCAAGCAATCGCAAGCACCAATCGCAAAATCAAGAAAGGTGGAAAGAGAGACTTGTTCTCCTGGCGTCGGCTCATTGCTGTCAGTCCTACCACCGGCCGCAAACCAGGCAGGACCAAAAGCGACCATTTCTCGCAACATATTCTGGCCCGGGGATTCGAAGATAGCCACGAGGAGAGGGCCTGCATCACCCGGGTCGGAGGGCAAGCGTATAAGGTCTATAGGGCGTATAGTATGGTTGCAATCTGGATCGGAAGTCTGCACGATAGATCTGAGCATATGGAACTCGCGCTCTAGCCTCACAACGTGAGACGAGACTCGCGCTAACACTGGAATCCATATTGACTCGTGATCCATGCGAGAAAGGGAGAGCTCGCTACTGGATTCGCTTAGGCTGCTTCTCCAGTGATGTCGGAATGGAGGGCGGGATTCGGTTCGCGGGGAATTGCGAGCCAGGCTTGAGGGGCCCGACGAGGTCGCGGCAGGTGTAGAGACATCTGACTCTGCGGCATGTCGGAGGCCAAAGACATGCCAGTGATTATATGTCGAATGAAACGGCTCAATAGTCTGATCCCATGTATATCCAGGCAGATGTCCCAACCTCTCGAAAAGGCGGGCCGGTGGGAGTGGCAGGTCGTCACCCAGTATATGGCTGTCCTCCATCTCCACCAACACTTATCGCGGAAATCCTGAGTATTCGGCCCCTCAGTTGACGGCCATAGATAGCCGATCGGTGGTGAGTAGTCGCAAACTGAGACGGCAAGGCTGTTCGGACAGGGGACCAGGAGGCATAAGGACGAAAACGGTTCAATCGCCAAGCAGGGTGGAGAGGGCGAGGCGCTGCCCCCTCTCGAAAAGGTTCAGGGTAAGTCGGGTAAAGGGTTTCGATCAAATGCGACAAGGGCACGGTCGGAGGGGGCGAAGAGAGCGATCAGACGCGATTCGGTGAGTTCAACGTGGTCAGGACACAGCTGTCAGCATCCCCACCAGTCAAGGTGAACGCGATCGCAAGCGAACAATGGGGATCAGCTCTTTCGAGGCAAGAACTCTGGTTGGGTTGGGGCCTATGGAGGCCTGAGGCTGTAGATTTCCTGAATAAGCCGTTGCCTTAGTCAGCTGCCGTTGGGCATCACGAGGGAGGATGATGGTGGAAAAAGCGGGAGATCAGCCGTCGTGCTTTTGTTCTCGAAAGGGTGGCTGCACGAGTTGCGCGCCTGTGAGGTGACCTTGCCGCCTGAACTTTATCAGATTTTGATTTTAAGTCATCACCCTGCAAGTATCGTCATGGCTGCATTTTCGAGGGAAGGGTTCCCGAATTTTATTAGTATGGTTATCTTTCTAGTCATCTTTGTATGTAGCACAACATGGTGGGCTGATATTGATTTTCCACCTTCCCTACCCTACTATCATGTGGAATAAACAACCGCCCGCACTCAGCTTACTAGTATTATACTTAAGGAGACTCCCAATGAGTAGCAGTCGCATACTGACGATCCGATCTTTGGTAGATATGTCTCAAGAGGTAACTGGGTCATGCGATTGTTGTATTACGAAACATAGATAGCTCTTATTGTAATATTGAGAGTTCCAATCGATGTAACTCTCTCCAAAGCGGCGCATACTGTACCTGAACTAGTCTCCAGCTGGGCTTGCCAAGCAATGGATAACAGCACCACCCGAGAACCCTCCTGTACACCGACAAATTAGGATGGGGTATGACATAGCTTTTTATTCCGATGTAATATCTATCAATCAATCATCTGGAGGCGGGGGTGGAGGGTGTGACAATGCCATCATTGTCATGTTAGTTCAGGGGAAAATTGATTGCATCGCCACTTCCCCTTACTTGACAACGTCAATGCAGTATCCCGACCGGGTAAATGGGCGACTAGTAATTCTCTAAGGGTCACTATCTTAATAGTCCGAAAATAGGTGCTATTCTTGGATAGTAAGTAGAAGCACTTATTGAGAATGATCACCTGAAACCACAGAACTCTCAGTCGAGTCAGGAAATCAGTCACTCTGACAGTGTTGTTGGCCCCTAACGTACATAGTACTGCTTACTGTGTGAAGTGAGGAATGTTGGCTTAATGTAACCGATTTCTGAACAGTAAGAAGGGCCTAAATTTGGTGCCATAAGACTTGGCGGACTAAAGAGAGTATCCTAAGTTTTGAAGGATCTTCCAGAAAATTCATTGTGGGACTAGGAAAATAGTAGCGTTAGGTTAATAGCAATTGTTCTGTTTTGGCCCCTTAAATATATACTAGCTCTTCCCAACGTCTTTACCCCACGCTTCGTTGTCCAAGTAGTAATATGAAAATCGATGAAGGGTAAAATAATAGTATTTTAAATCAAATAAACATAAAAAATGTCACCACGTTTGTTGCCCCACGCAAACATTAAGTGTATAAGCCAAATAAATCATGATAAGAACAGAGCGACTGGATCTAATGTAGTAAGACGTATCCATTAATTATCAGAGGTTGCAGGGTTCGTTCCCGCTTATCCCAATATGCGGTGTGCACCATCCACTCAAAGCTCTTCCCAGCTCAATTACGGGAAGAAACAATTGATTACTAGTAGTTCTTGGGGCGAATCATCTTGGGCATATTACACATCTCTTCATCTTTCATAATACCGGAATTAACTCGGGACCTTGATGGTCAAATATAACATATCTTTGGAAGAACTTCTGTCAGGCTTACGCATGAAGTATATGGGTCTGGCGAGTTTGACAAAAGCTCCATTCGAGGACGCGTTTAGTTTGAGGTTGAGTATATGCTTTGTGAAATATGTTTTGAATTCAGCAAGATCATGCACGCCATCGCTGCTACCAATGGGTGCATAAATGATCCGAAATATATATAAAATGCCACTGAAAGTCACTGAATTACTGAAAGGGAAACACAACACATGCTAATCAAGACTAAAATCTGAAGCTTTTGGCATATATTTCCCTAGAAATTAGAGCTTACGTATGGGAACTAAAATCTAAGATAGCTGAAGATTATAATCGTCGAGCATAGCCCCTAAGTAAAGATACCTCAGACTATACAGTAGGATGTGTCGGCCAAATGGAGAAATCCGCATGCCTGATCATCGCATCCTTTAGTAGCTGGCCCAATTAGAATAGTCAATGGGTAAGGCATATGCTGCTTAATATGGATGTAAGTACGTACGCAGTAGTTGTATTTTCAGGCCCACAATATGATTGAACTTAAAGCAAGATTCAAGTTGAAACTACACGCTCAGGCTAGTCCAGTCAAGGCCGGTCTGTTGAATAAGTCTATAAAAGACCAATAAAGTGGTAACGCAGAATCACAGTATTCAGCCGGATTCTTGGGACAGCTTTAGCGGGCATGGTTATCCTAGAATGCGAGAGACACTGGTGGCCACTCGCCCCTATAATAGTGATAAAAACCTTCTGCAAACCTAATATGTCATATTTCGGTCGATTTCGCTCAATATACAACATCTGCGTACCTTTTTCAATACTATAATTTAAGATAGATTGGCACTGTCCACCTGTATACACTGATTCAGTAGACTTTACTGGATATCCCAGCCTACGATATGAACCATTCTCCTATTCATCATGTGTTGGTCGCTCTCCACCAGCTAGTAACGTAGACGGTGCTTGGCGGTGACACATTAACTCAATTTGAAAGTCCCGGGCATGATATCTCTTTATTTGAACTCTTTCCTGGGTGGAGGGCATATCTCAAAATGTCATATGAGGCGACTTCTACCTGTAGCTCATTTGGTCATGTGTGACGTATCTGTAAACAATCTTAACGACCGTAGAATTGAAAGGAAACAGGCCGATGGAAAATATATAATTTAAGTTGGACAGACTAAAATTCAGTAGGAATCCGCAAATTGTACAAGGTTTGAAGGTAGCGTGGCTCTAAATCTTTTTTCAGAGTATAAGCCGGGGAGACGTGACACAAGTACGTAGCACCTAAGCCGGCTAAAAAAGGGTAGGTGACGAGTTTGTAAACTCTAAAAGCTGTTCTCATATAAGGAGTATTTCAATAAAATAGATTGGATCGCCTGACTCCTGTACGAAATTTGTTAGGAGAGAAATGGTTCGGGGATGGCATCGTCAGGCGTGGCATGGGGCATGTCTGACCACACTACCGATAACCGAATTAACTATTTTTATTAGTTAGGGGGGATTAGTGGTGAGGAAAGTGGTGACTGGTGACATGGATGGGTATCCGAGAAGAGAACCAGCCTCTCCCGATTCGAATATCCATGGATGGACATGGATGATGTTGCTCCAATCACAGCTGGCTACCCACCCGGAATATGTATGGGGTACAGGATTGCAGAGCTAATGTAAAATAGTACCTAGTCAGGCTCCGTACCCATGGTCCTACCCGTAGACAGAACGCCCGATGTCGTCATCTGATGCGAGCCGGAGCGCCTATCATCACCATGATCGTAAGGGGTGTCCATAAATAGGTCCCTAACGGCGAACATTCCCATGCTTCGACACGATTCATAGTCTCTCGGTTCCCCGACCGTGCCATCGAACACTCTCCCCTAGCGAGGCTGGTTGTTTTATCGATTTGGGTTCTGTCGTCCACAATGATTTTGACATCTGGTGCTTTTCTATTTTTGAATCCAGCCCTCCACTGATGATGATGTATGTGGCCACCTTTTTTTCTCCGCTACCCCTGGGTGCTCTCCAATTACGGAGTAACTATGGATGGTTGACGGAGAAAAGAACATCTGTGCGTGGTGTTTATTGAGAACCCGTGGTTTTTCCGCCCTGTGGTGCAGCCTCTCCCCGCTAGACTTTGTTAGGACTAGCCTAGCAATAAGGCGACGAATCTCTCGGCTAGAGTGTGTTCAAACAGTTTGTACCTTTTGTTAGGCCATTATTGATAGTATAGTTATTGACATTACGCGTTGACATATGGAGAAGATATTCTCCTAGAGTAGCTATGTTAGGTGAAATGCTAGACACAACTACCATGATATCGCTAGCCTGAAGAAGGCAAATCGTTATCTTTTTACGGGTCACTACTGCCGGAGCAAACAACACATCGAGATCGAGGAACATGCTGGTTCTACTTAGACACCCTGCATTAACAGAATGGCAATTATTTGGTATTTACCAGTTACCTGAATCCTTGGATCGTGAATCCCCCAAAATCCTCAATATAATTACAGAATTAGCCTCTTCGGTAATTGTGCAGTTCAGTCACGAGTGCCTTACCCCTTGAAGGACACTGGGCATGCAGGATATCGGCTGTACGAGTAGACAGCCATACGGCATGACTTCTACGGGAACACCTCTACCTCGCAAGGCGAACGGCATGCTGTTGGTCTTAGACACAGCATCAACACTTGAGAACCGGACGAGGTTCCCCAAAGCCTGCGCTACGTCATCTGAGAAGGCGGTAACAAATCCTTACATATGCGGATGGGGCAACACTTATCCTAGGAGGCGGATATGAGGCTGAAGGTTGATTGAAAGGTTTGAGCCATATGAATGGCTGGCTAAATGTTCTCATGGTGTCCTTGACAGCCCTGTGGGTAAATCCATCTCAGTGATCTGGTGGTGGTGGCGCGCGATGAGGTCGAGGATGCCCTGGCACTAGTCTATATCTAGGGACATCATGTGATATCGGGTGGCCCATTTCGGCAACCCCAGAATTGTGCCGGCAATAATCAGCAGGGATGTGGCGGTATCGCAAACTCACGCATCAGGATGCTGAGTGGTGGTTGTAATGAGTATTATCTTTCTTTTTCTGGTTCTTTTTCTTTTTCTTCTCTTTTCTTTTCTTTTTTTTACCCCCTTTGGTTACCAGACTAAGTAACGGTTAGTGCCGGTAGGTGTCAATACTTGGGTTTAGTTAAGTATTGGTTTTGGTA